TGCCCAATGAATGACCAGATGACCATTTTCTGATTTACCTTTCTTGTGTCTCATTTTGGAGGTAACATGGAAGGTGATATAACAAAAACAGGCAAGAAATGATCTAGCGATAGGACTGAACACCTGTTGAACTGAAAGGTTAAATATGGCAGACATGTTAAGCATGCTTCTTCAAACCAATTCTTTCTGTGTACAGTTAACAAATCTTTTATCTGGTGTGTTTTCTTTTGCTTTATCCAAAGTAATAAATGAAGATATTAGTTTACTAGACTCAGCAGTGAAAAAAATAGGTTAAATATGAGAATTGACCTGTTTATCTAGTGGTGTGTGTGTGTGTGTGTGTGTGTTAAGGACAAGTACCCAGATGGGATCCTGTGAAGACCCTTGGTGGTCTCCTGGCACCTTCATCAGTACTGGCATTCCTGATCCTTAAGGGAGGACTGTACAATATAGTATAGAATATTGTCAGCAAAATGTTGCATCCTCCAAGTTATACAGTTATCAAAGTACTTGTGACCTTTAATTTAGTGGACTGCAACTGATATAGCATGGAGTTCCTGAACTTTCAGATGTTTTTCATGCATTTACCTGGCCTCATGCCAGTCGCGGATTTATTTGAGAAGAATGCACCAAGTGGCATCTAGCCCATAATTAGGAGAGCTGGGGATCAATGGTTTAGTCGCTGTTTTAACTACATGTCTTTGAACATCTGTATTAAGTTCCTACATGATCAGCTCTAGGAGAGAATTCTCGTCTTCCATCTTTTTAAGGCGTCTTTGATTTCTTTGTTCCTGAGGCTGTAAATCAGCGGATTTAACATGGGGATTATAATAGTATATAAGACTGACGCCAACTTGTTTTGGCTCAAAGAATCACCAGAGTTCGGATACATATAAACAAAGATCCCTGAGCCAAAGAACAGGGTCACTGCTGTTACGTGAGAAGCACAGGTGTTGAAAGCCTTGAACCTGCCTTCAGCTGATGTGATCTTCAGAATGGTGGCAACAATATAACCATAGGATATCATGATAACCAGGACAGAAGTCAGTCCATAGATGACTGTCAGCACAGAGGTCATGACTTGGAAGAAGAAAGTGTCAGTGCAGGACAGTAGCAGCAATTGGGGCAGGTCACAGAAGAAATGATTGATGACATTTGGCCCACAGAAATGGAGTTGAAGTAAGGCACATAATTGGATAAATGAGCCAAAGAATCCAGTTACGCCAGCTCCTGCTACCATTTGCATGCAGAGGGTGGGGGACATGATGGCTGTGTAGAGTAGAGGGTTGCAAATGGCAGCATATCGATCATAGGCCATAGCTGCCAGGAGACAGCACTCAGTCAGACCCAGGCTAGAGAAGAAAAAGTACTGGACGGTGCACCCCACAAAGGAGATGGATTTATGCTTCTGGAAGAAGTCTGAGAGCATCCTGGGGGATATAGTGGAAATATAGCAGATGTCTAGAAAGGACAAGTTACTGAGGAAAAAGTACATGGGTGTGTGTAGATGGGAATCCATTCTGATGAGGGTAATAAGAGCCACGTTCCAGGACACTGTGATGAGATAGATTCCCAGGAATAT